GGCATACAAGTGTCATCTATTCCAAAGCTATGGAGCGACAATACAATTGCAATTGCAACGGCCGCAAACCCTGTACTCCACGCCAAGACGAAACATGTCGACTTGGACTTGCATTTCATTCGGGAAAAGGTGCTCGATGCCAAGATATAAGCCAACCATGTTCCGGCTAAATTGCAAATTGCGAATAATTTAACAAAGCCTCTTTCCACTGCTTAATTTTCAGAGTTCCGCAAACAGCTGCAAGTTTATTCTTTATTTGAAATTCAGAATGCAGAAAAGAGGCAAGTCAGGTGAATATCAGAAGAAGTAAATGCATTAGAATGTAAGCTTAAAGCAACAGGTGCCATGCCAATGAGCCACAGATATGTAATTTTTCCTATTAGTTGTTTATTGCCACAGCAATCTTTTTCTTAACAGAAAAAATAGGATAACATGCATGAAGGAATGGAAGTAAAGATACCAAATTGACCGGAAAAAATTCTTTAGGTATCAAACTGATCAATCCCCTAATATGCATGGGCTAATTTACATATTATGCTATTTCTGATTCAAATATCAGTCAAGGTAGACGAGGGGGAACCTTTTTCTTTTTTTCTAGAAACCACCTTCACATGTCTGTCTCATTTTCTTCATATCCTTCTTTTACGACAAATTATCCGACACAGAACTCGATGTTTCTTTGGAAGCAAGGCTTGCTTCCATAAACAGATTATAAGATATATTCCAAAGTTCTTTTGCAAGTTTGGCATTGTGTGAAAGTCCAGAGGAATCAACATATCTACCTTCTCCACCAAAAAAGTATATTCCAGATACTTCCTGAAATCAACAGTCAAAAATCAATAGGTTCACTAAAGCACCAGAGATGTATTATTTTCTCTCAAGATATGATGCTGTGTTTACATCGGACAATACTCAAACTAAGTTCAAACTTCATCGTCTATGACTAGTTGATGGTAAGACTTAAGAAAGAAAAACTATGATCATATATCTCAAATTTGACTTACAGGATGGGCAAGGGCTGCATCAAGAATAGAGCTAACTCCATCCTCGGGTGATTGCAAAAGGCCCAAAGGTCTCAAAACTCGAAACGCCAAATTCGAAAGACATGAAGGGAATTCCCTCATGATGTTGGTTTTTACAAATCCAGGATCAGCAGTACTTCAAAAACAAAACAAACCATATTACATACCATAAACTGAAGCATAGATGCACTAATAGGAATGGTAATCTAGATAAAACATAGTAAAGATGTTATGTAACTGAATTGTCATGAAATCCATCAAAAGAGAAATGATAGTTCAAACTTTCAAATGTTTCTCGTTTTCTTTGAGAGAATAACAAAAATCGTGTAAACATATACTTTACAGAGACATGACTAGGTTGATCTGTTAAGCCGAGTTGCTGGTGGAGCTCATATGAGAAGAGAATCAGGAATACTGTTCAAACAAAATCATGCATCAATTATAGAATGGACATGAAAGGTAATCACAATAACCATCCAAGATAAATGAATTACGTTTTGAATACTCATAGATACGAGCGAACGGATATTGTTCCGATCTCAAGAAACGTGTCCCTGAAACAGATTCCTTGTCAACCTGCACATCAAAAACTGAAGCAAAGTGCACTAATGAAGTTATTTGTGGGTTTTTCATTCCCCTGTTTTGAAACACGATGGTTTCCAGAAGAATATTTCATAAAAGCTAGAATGATACTCACCACTTCGATGCGTAAAGGATGTGACATTTACTATCCGAGAAGGAACAGGGCTTCTTTTCAGAAGAGGTAGTAGTACTTTGGTCAGAGAGAATGCTCCTACGTAATTTGTACCCATCATCCTGAGAAACATGAGTGAAATTATAAGGAATTAAAGGATGGAAAAGGGTTATCGTAAGCAACGGCGAATTGATGTACTAGGAAGTGCCGAGTGATTTTAGCTCAAGTTAAATTTTACATGAAGAAAATGTAGCATATTGGAGCTTCTGAGGAATTTGGGAGATACAGATCACACATTTTCCAGCTGGTAAAGAAGTTTGAACCAATATGCACAATCAAAGATAGATTAGTAAATTACTGATCATAGCCTTCAGGCGTGATTCGCGATGCTGCTGCCAATATCCCGGCATTATTAATCAAGAGCTGCACAGACGAATGCATTTTGCAATCTGAAAGCCACTGCTGAAGTGAGCTTCTGAATTCCGAAATAGATTGGCATGACGACAGGTCGACCACAAAAGCTTTGACATGGGCATCCTTATTCTCGTTTTTATTTCTGTCATAGTCTATAAACAATAAGAAGTTAAAAAGGAAGAAAGAAATGATAAAAGAGCATTATCACATGAGGCCACATGCAATAAGAGACTTATTGCATATGTATCATATACCTTTGATAACAAATATGATGATCGTCCAACTGCAGAAACAAACGTAAAAATAATGTCAAAGCGAGATGTTCGCTTCTAAAAACTCAAAATATGCCGTTTCTTTTATTAGTCTGGGTTTTTGTTCGAAACACTCAACCATTTGACAATGAACGCTCAAACACCCTGTAGACGATGTGCTCGAACCCGAGACCTTTAGAGATAACAATCATCCATGTAACCACTGAGTTTTTGTACTTCGGCAAAGTTTGAAGTTAAGCCTTCTTACATTTTCGATTTAAAAATACTAATCCAAGCATTGACATCATTAGTATTTTGACTATAATGCTTATTGTCCTATGAAGTTGTCACGTTTGCATGGGTGTATTGATGACAAATTTTAACAACCATAGACTATCGGTGTCAACGATTAAAACTTCAAAATCTAAAAAAAGTACAGATACAAACACTAAATCTCAAATTTTATTAAAAACGGACTATTGACATAATTTGTCATTTTAAAGACACAAGATAGTTCACTTGCAATTAGGGGTGACCAAAACCCGACTCTACTAAAAAAACCTGAATTTTTCTACTCGACTTGAATTAATTTCAAATAAAGTTTGAGTTATAAAATAGGACTTGAATAATTTGAAAAACTCAAATTTTTAGTAATTATTAGATTGCATTATATATGTATAACACATATAAAAGAAATATATATGTATATTGTATATAGTTATAGAAAGGTTTAAACTGAAATCAATTAGTACCATGTTATTATAAATATTTGCAATTAAATTTAAACAAAAACTCGAACAACTCGACTCAAATTTTATAAATCAAACAACTCGATTCGAAAACTTTTCAAGTAAATTTGAATTATAAAATAAGACAAGAGTCAACTCCACTAACTTGAATATTTTTTACTCTGAGTCGATCGCATACTCGCAGCTACCGCTAATGACAATAAGCAAAACCAGAATGAACTAAATGCACCCAAACGAAGGTAAATTGAAAGTAAATGAAATAAGTAGTGGGCAGGGCAGAGCAGAGTACCGAGAACTACATAGAAACCTTCCAGTGAAAGAGCGAATGCAGCAGCAGCTCCCAGTCCTGATGTAGCCTGCATCAATGAAGAAACAAAACAAAAATGAAAGCAAAAAAAAACACAGCACTTCAAGCTATAAATTATCCAGGCAAGTGAGAAAATACGGTGAAAACAAAGAAGACTTACGCCGGTAATGACGCAAAGAGGGGTTAGAGACTCAGAGATTGGAGGATGACATCGTGGGTAGGATTGAGCTTGGCGAGAAAACACTCTCTTGGTGAGTAACTGGAAGTATGAAACCAATAGCGAGATTGTCCAGAACACGGCCATTCTCCAAAAACTGACGGACACGGCAAAATGGAGAGCTTCTTTCAATTCCTTAATCATGTTTTGCAGCTCCAGTGAATTCAGAAATAAGATGCTAGAAATAGTAGAGAAGATGACCAAAGTCAGGTAGATAGACCGAGTTTCTTTGAGACAAATTGTCGAACAGTTTATACTCTAAAGACAGATTTATTAGTTTGATATTGGTCGAGCGGTTTTCTCGAAGTCAATTGGCCTACAACTTGTGGGTCAGAAAGATATATTATGTAAGAGAAAGAGGGAAATAAATAAAATGTCTAATTATAATTATAGCATCGCTACTATGTTAAAGCTGAATATGTGATCTACAATAATTAGTTTAATATAATATAATAATTTTGTTTATAATGTTATTAATAGATTCATATTTATAATATTATTAACTATTATAATTAAAGTGGTTACATTTGTACCAACAATTAGTTAATTTGATAAGATGATACACTAAATTCTTTAAATAATATCAATGGTTCAAATTTTGATATTTGTGAATAATCCAAACTGGATTAGAAAAATCGCTCATAATGAATTTTTTTATAAAAACTTAAATCTCAAATTTTAATAAAAATTTAAAACCATAATTAAAACAAAAAAATTATCAGAGACGTAAGTAATTACATTATAAGAATATTCAATTTTAAAAATAAAATATGTAGGTTCATAATTTTACATTTTTAATAACATTTATTAGATTTTTATGTAATAATTTTGCTTATTCTAATTTCCCGAACTTTTAGATAATAATTATTCTTAACTATCACCATCATTGGCATGAGAGCTACAGTACACCTTTCCATCTCACTAATAGCAATCTATTACTTGCTATTGATAGTGCTGAGAGATGATTCGATTCAATCATCATTAGATCTATTTTTTTCCTCTCTAATTGAAAATCGATCATTTTATATATTCGACAGTTCTAAATCTATATAAAAGTAATATTTATATTTTTTTGTGTTAAAACAAATAGTTAAAATTGACTTTTTATATTTTTTATTCAATGAATATCTTCTCATTTTCTAATGTTAATCTCAACTGTTCATTTTTATTTATTCAACGACTCTAAAACTATATAAAACTAAAAAAATTTACATTATGTAATAGAACATTGTCTCTTAATTTAATTTTATTAGAGATATATAAATCTTATAGAAAGAAAACCACAACAGCAATTTGAATATATTCCACACCCGCAAGCCAATTAATTTCCTCTCAAATCCAAATAACACAAATCAAACTTTTGAACGCCCAAAATAACAAAATTAATGATTAAAAAAATACAAAACCACACCCCATATATCATGTGATATAAAGTAAAAGAAAGCTACATGTATTGGTGGGAGAAGGGACTACAATCGGGGTACGCATTAGTGAAACTTGACACAAGCTGAGAAGATAAAGCTTGTCTTTTGATAAGAACCTGGTGGTATCTTCCTATCAGTGATACCACCATTTTCTCTTCGTCTACTTCTTCCAAATTACCTGTTGTCATCCATTCATCAGTCAGCATTCAGCGCATCATATGATTTGTTTTATAAAAGCAAATACATATAGCAAATTGATTTTCTAACGGCAATGGTTACCAAAATGTATGTGATTCGACCCGCCGATTGACCACACCGAGTGGTTTAGGGCAAGATCAATATACATTAGATCAATTTGGATTTTTTAAAAAAAAATGGATCATTTTGATTTGGGTCAGTTTCAGGCTTGAGCTGTTTCAAGTTTGAGTCATTTTGGTTTGAGGTTTGGGTTTTTCGAGTTGAGTCATTACGAGTTCAGATCATTTCGATTTTCAGTCGGTTCAAGTTTAAATCATTTCGGGTTCATGTTTGGATGAGTTCAAATTATTACTGGGTCGGATTTCAAATTCAGGTTAGAGTTGACAAATCTAAAAGTAATCATTTATATAGAATAACAGTCATCGAAAGCTTACCTAATTCGATCTCAAGTTCTTGATCTTCTGCATCCCCTTCTTCAACGATACCATCCTCCAAGGCCGAAGCTGCTTGCGCATACCTTTCCAGAAACTGTTCTTCAGTTTCTTCAAGTTCACTCTCAGATTCCTGTCCCCCCACCCAAAAAAAACAGAACATGTTATCTACCAGAGTACCAGTGGACAATGCTGAATTCCTAAAAAAAAAAAAGGAAAAAATTTGCAACTGAATGTTCTAAAAAAGATCGGCGAATCTCAAGAGTTGGACCTCATCATCAATTTCGATTTCGTCATTGTCCTCCTCGTTATTATCATATTCTTCACCATTTTCCTCATCTTCCATTTCTTCATCCAGCTCTTTCAGTTGTATAGATGTCTCAATCAGCGAAGTAAAGCAATCTCTCAATAAGTCACCACTTGGATTGCCTACTCCCAACAACCTTTCAATCATCTTTACCAGTGTCATCACTGCGAACAAAAAACCATGAGAGTTTCTGTCGGTTATTTTACCGGGGGGAAGGACACTGAGCAGCAAAATAGATACTTACCCGTCAACTTTATCTCTGACTTTGCAGACAGGCCGACTTCAGAAGAATGAGTGCAAGCAAAAGCCAGTGCAGACGCCCAGGCCACAAAGCCTCCATCGCCCTCCTTCTCCAGTACTGCCTCCACTGCTTCAGGATGACATAAATAGCATGATGCAATAGCAAGCAAGTGAGGCTTCCATGACGAAGAAGGCTTGCTTCTTACTCCTTTGAAACAAGAAAATGCTGCCCGACAGAAGACAGCTGCCAATGATAGCCGCACACCTTCTGTTTCACCTGAATAAGTTGGGACATGTAATAGTATGTGAACACAGGAGCAAGCTCTCCACGTTGCAGACGGGTATTGTAAAATGACCTCACTGACAAATGCACTTATTGCTTCAATAATGGATCTCTGCGGCAGAGGTGGAGCAGGAGCAGGCGGGGTCTGTCTAACAATGAAATTCTCCACTCCATATTTACTGTGCAAATTAACTACTTCCTTGATGCAATCAAAGACAGACATATCTTCTGATTCTTCCCATGCATGCCAATCTGAAATCAAGTCGGCCCAAACTAGTAGTAATTCTGATAGTTTAAGCTCTTTGATTACATTGCGTCCGGTAACAGAGAGTATAATGGATCGAAGCAATGTTGATGAATGATCTACACATGATGGAGGGGGTGATGCCTCGGCTTCCTGATCATTGCAATAAATTAAGGAAAAAGTAAATATGCCATAAAAAAAATTAAGAAGTTAATCAGGTAACTTCTGATAGCAGTGTATTATCATCTGACGAATAAAAAGCACGAAGTGGAGCAACAAATAATGTCAATTACAAAGCAGATGAACAAAAAACAATTAATTCAATGCCAAGTTTGCACCAGGAACATAGCCTAGATATTAATTTGAATATATAAAAAAATAAGTAAAACAAGGAGCTTAAAGACATCATATATCAAGATCTTTTATGTTCTAATATAATTCTGAAATTTTATATGCTTGTATACAAATTTTACCATCAGCAGTCAAAAATGGTAATTCTCTTGCCCATTAATATGTACGGTATGCTTAACTGCTCAAGTACCAAAGAATTGTTAAAAGCTCATATTACAAGGAGAAGAAAACTAACCAGTGGTGCCGTGAGCCAAGCCTGTTGCAAGAGAGCTGATAAAGCTCTACCAATGGCAGCCTGACCAGATGCCTTCTTTTCACTTGAGTCATTCTGTTCAACCTCTTCGTCCATGAAGTTTTCCCAAGATTGAGCCATCACTGCTAATGCTTCAAAGCCCCGTACAACCACCTATATTAAATGTAATGCTTTTCACTAATAATCCAAATCAGGAACGCTCAATAACAATTTACATTAGAGTCCATTTTCAACCATAATCTGTCAGAGGTAATGTATGCAACGCTCCAGAAATAAAGCAAACAATTTTGGAATTTAGCTTCCTGACAGAAACCCATGTTTGACATGACATGCTGCTTTTTTGTGATCATGCTAGCAAACACCAAACTTACAGAAATTAAATTTTTTTAAGGAGAACAAAAAGAGTGAAATGTACAGGAATTCATACTTACATGAGGCCATGGCTCCAGGATAGGATGTATGGACTTTGAGATCACATCAACCAATGATGAAATAATATGAGGAATATGAATTGCTGTGTTCTCGTTTCCAGCCTCTACAATAGAATTGAGAAGCTGAAACAGAATGATGTTTTCTTCATCTTCATTACCAATGCTACTAATTACAACTTGAAGAAGAGGTAACCACTCAGGTGGAAGATACTCATTCTGAAAAGAACAAACAAAAGATAGGTGAGACATTAACACCAAAATGGGAATGCCTTGTAAAACTAAGGATTGTTTAGGGGACCCTACTTCAAGGAGCCCAGCAATTGCTCCTGCAGCAGCTACTCGCACAGGGTAACAAGAAGTATCCTCTTTATCAGCCAAGAATTCTGCTTAACAAACTCTGAGACGACAACTATTCGAAACTGCCAAGAGGGAGACATCGGTATTCATATGTTATTATAATTAATTTAAACATTAAATAGTAATATCATCATAATAGTATAAAAATTGCAGAAACTCGATACCGCTTCCACTAGAACTTTTAGAACTTGCGCTTCGGCTTGAAGCAAAGTTCGCATCAGTTGGGCCTTGAATTCCTTGCTGACTTTTGAAGACGATCCATCACAGACCTCAATGTTTCGCCTCGCGAAGTTTTTAAGATAAGTTGAAGCAGCGACTCTTTGACCTTGACTTTGACCTCCTATAAAAATCATTAAAAATAATTACAAGCACTGTGAACTGATGCATAAAAAATGAAATCTCGTCGAGAGTGAGATAATTCGGAATGAAACCAAAGGAACACTGAATGGAAACAGAAGAAGAAAAGCGGATTTAGTTTACGGCGGCGATGGAGAGGAGAGCGAAAGGGAATTGAGGTAGCGAAGAGAGGCCATCGAGAGCGTCGGTTGATGCACGGACAACGTTTCCATCGGGGCTGAGCGTTTGGTCGAGCAGCTGAGCAATCTGAGTCAGGTCCATGGCAACTTCGATTTTTTTTTCCTTTTTTTTCCCTCTATTTTTTGGTTTTCAAAACCCTAAAATGTTGGTAGAGAGGTGCGGGAAAGAAGAAGGCGGGAAAAGTTTAGTTTTGGTGTAAATAAGGGTAAGCAGTGCCAGTAAAGATGCTTTTGATTCACAGGCTCTCGTTGCCCTTGCTCTTATGAAAATAAAAATGTGCAATTTCACCATCAATCCTTGTATTATGTATAAATTATAAATATAATCCATATGATCCTTTTCATAATCTCAATAGACACATTGTTGATGTATAACTAATCAGACAGAAGTTTATAATAAAAATGGGCAATTCATGTTTTAATGTGAGTGGAAAATTGTCGAAAATATTTAAAAACAGTTATTAATATCGATTTATCTCTTTTAATATGATCGAAAAATAACTAATAAATAACAATAATCGGAGATAACCCTCAAATAATATCTTTTTGTCAAAAAATAAATAGTAGAAAGAGGGTACAATCTCCATTGATAGAGGGAATATATATTATATGTCTTTAATATCGTGTGACGACTATGGTATGTGATAATAATGAGTCGTTTTCTTCGCATATCAATTATCTGATAATCGAGTTAAACAGATTAACCGAATTATGCCGTTTATCGATTGTTGAGTTGATGAATAATGAAAGAGAATACGACTACCGATCAGAGTGTTGTAAGATCATAAGGAGTGTTATAACGTATTATAAAACTGCATCTGTCCGAGAAAAAAAATTAAGGATTTCAAAATAATCTCCAGATGGATAAAGCAAAACGTGTACCTTAAGTGGTTCAGTTATTACATATGCTCTTAGACAGGTTATGGGCAGATTAAATTTGAATAAGCTCAGGGTATCATGAAACAGAACACCACAGAAACTAAAGCCTGCAACAATCAGGTACAGCGAAAAAGAATTGCACAAACGGTTCAACCTCGTCCTCGTCATTCTCGTCGCTGTCCACTTCATTGCTTTGCCTTGGGTAGCTGCTTTTAAAAGCAAGACTCGTCAACCAAGCCGGTTCCAAGTTTTAGCCACTGGAGTTGTTTGAGTAGAAGATTTTCTCACCTTGGTACAAACATAGATGTAATGGACGTCGGGGTTCTTTCCGAGTACATCTTCCACCGAGCTTCCACTCTCATCCAACGGGATTGGGTCTGTCAATTCCCTCGCTGGTTGTTCAGAACTTCCTTCGGGTCCAAATTTCGCTGCACGATGAAGAACTAGATTAAAAGAACATCATACATGCCAGGCTATACCATATATTTATGGAGGATGAAACTCATTTTATAGGCTTCAAGGATCTAATTAATCTAACGGATCCTGTTCTAAATCCGGAGTGATTTATGCTGCGGTTAAGTTGATTGACATTTGTTGTCTCCGGCTTTTCAGCTGTAAGGTAAGAAAACTTCGAAATATTTGTCGTTCCAAACCTAGCTTCCGTCTCTAGTCTTCCACAACTCGAGGCTGTTTTTTCTTTAACAATATTCATTTCATAGGTAATATGCAGTATGTTTAAACAAGCTCTATTTGTCGTGATAACTCAGCAATCTGCACTTCAGATTTACAATTCGAGGTATCGAGAGCGGTCAATATTATGGGATGGGACACCATCACCTAACATCAAGAAACGGAATGCTGGCCGTCTTATATGTATCAAAAGTAAATTTCTTTACATCCTCTATAGCATATAACTGATTGTTAGAAAGCATTATAAATTCTACTCAAGATTGATCATTCAGCTATCACTAGGATTACGGAACACATGCAAAGTGTTCAAAATCAAACCAAAGCGAGAACAACAACATAACGACCATAATGAGGAATCCAATCAACCTATCACATGCAGTTTTATGCTCCATGTGCACGATTCTTTCAGCAAGCCGAGACGATATACCGGAGCTCCATATGTAACCTGCAGCACTTGCAAGAACAGTTAGGGAAGCAGAAAATGATCAACTGCACATACACACAGAGAGACACGTAGACTGCGAGAACGGATAATCTCTATGAGAACGGAATAAAAGGTGAGTAACGTTACCAGAATGTACACTCCTTTTTCCTTGAGGACCCTATAGTTTGTATTCAACTGCTTCAATATATGGTGAACGGATCAAGAATACCCATAAAAGGAAAAATTCTAATGAAGACAAGTATGATCATATACCTCCAGACTTCATCGAGCATTTGAGCCGCATTCTGCCTGGAATTGTTTCCACACTGCAACACAAAACATTCCCATCAGCTTATCATACTCAAAATTGGATCTCGACAAACACGGATGAGCAACAACTGATAGTACTCACCAAGATAGAATCAAGAGTCCCTGGAAACCAACCAATTTCAAATGAAAATCAGTAATTAAAGACCAACAATCATCGAATCAACACACATTAAAACAAATCAACACCTTTATCGATAACAGCATCAAAGGAACCAGATTGAAAAGGACTCATATCTCGTACATCCAATTTAATATCTGCAGAAATCATTAGAGCATAAACAATAACACGTCAAAAACATATAAACTGGAAGAAAATTTTGGAATAACTGAAACCATTGATACATTTTAGCTGCTGCCAGTTGGAGTACTTGGCCTGCATAGCTTCGATGACAACAGAGGAGATATCGACATTGACAACAACCTCGTACCCATCGTTCACCATCTCTTCACTAAACGCTGCAAAAACAAAAATGCGGGGATTTATTACATGACAGCGATATATCCGATGGTATGGGTTGATTTCGGGTTTGTGGGTACCTGAGTTGCCGCAGCCGACGACGAGAACACGCTGATGGCGGTGGGGGACATAAATGCGAATAAGGGGAGCTAAGGCGGGGTACTTTTGGTACCAATCAAAGGGAGCTGATTCATGGGCGTAGCGATTGTCCCAATACCACGGCTCACCGTATGCTTGAGACGACGGTGGTGTACCCGTGGTCATCGTTGTCTCCGGTGAAAATCTGAGTTTTGTTCCGAGTTAATGCTTTTTTTGTATTGAGATTTGGGTTACAGAGAGTTAATTGCAAAAATGAGGTGAAAACGATCAGGTTTGTCGCAGGAACACCGTGGAGCCTTTGTTGCTATTGGGCCATGTTTAATGATTCATCGTCGTCAACATCAAGAACAACTACCCCAACACGTGGACTTGTCTTAACAAAAGGAAAACCACCGGTTTTTTTTTTTATTTTGGACTAATAATAGTAAGGATAAACTACACGGGAGACCACCAAACTATGGTCCAAAGTCAATGTGACCATTGAACTATTTTTTATCTCAATCAGACCACCAAACTATTTAATTGATTCAATCAAACCACTGGCTGTTAATTTTTAACAGAGAGGTGACTTGTCCGTTAATAAAATTGGCATAATTATATATTTGGTCCTTAATATTTACATATTCTATCAATTTAGTCACTATTTTAATTCAATTAAATAAACTTAATTATCCAATTAGAACATGACACGTGTCAATATAGTGTAAATAAATTTAAAATTCATACATAAAACCTTCCAATCATGTATTGACACATGTCATGTTCTAATTGGATAGTTACATTTATTTAATTGAATTAAAATAGTGACTAAATTGATAGAATATGTAAATATTAAGAACCAAATATATAATTATGCCAATTTTATTAATGGACACGTCACCAACTCTGTTAAAAATTAGTGGCCGGTTGTTTGATTGAATTAATTAAATAGTTTGGTGGTCTGATTGAGACAAAAAATAGTTCGGTGGTCACATTGACTTCGAACTATAATTTGGTGGTCTTCCATATAGTTTACCCTAGTAAGGGTAGACTAATAGTAGGTAAATTATAAAAGTGATTATTTAATTATGAGATTATTCTAATTTAATTATTGATAGTTTAATACCATATGTCGTTAATGTTTAACCATCTTTCAATATCATTAGCAATTAACATTTGACGAGAAAATAACTTAGTAGTTAAAAGTTTTAATATAATTATATATTAGATTTATGTTATTTACATATTTTATTAATTTGGTCTTACTTTTTAGATTTATTATATTAAATTAAAATTATGGTCAATGTATAAATAATATAGACCAAATATACAATTATACTAATTTTTGTAACTATCATATTTTTTATCAGTTAGTGGCTTGTTGACAAAATTAAAAGGTCAATGATCAAATTAAAATTACTGCATATTTAAGAGGTCATAGCTGTAAATTACCCTTAATTTTATTATATAAAGAATAAATATAAAAAATTTATTGAGAATTATAATAAATTAATCATGTTAGCTTATTATTTTTGCTACAATCATGAGAACTTACAACCTAATCCATAAAAATAAAATAAGAAAATAACATGTTAAAACTTTAATTAAACCGCTCGTAAAAATGATAGATATAAGTAAATGTTATCATTGATAATAAATAAATCAATAATAATATAAAAATACATATATTAATAATAACACGTTGACAAACTTATTTTATAACAACTCAATTGTGATCTATATTCACGATTTTGAGTTCCCATCAACACGATGATATAAAAAAATCAATTCAAAAATCCAAATTAAAGATAAATTAATTATATAACTAAACATATTTACAAAACATAACCAAATATATAATAGAAAAACATCATTAGATTTAACTTGCTTTAAAAAAAAATCATCGGTGACTGATATATTTATTGGTCTAATACCGGTCAGACTATATTTCTCGATCTAACACCTTTGCAATAAAGCGCGCCCCCTGCACCGCGTTATATGTTGATTTGGCGTCACGTGGGGTAAAGCGCGTCCCCTGAAACGAGCCTTATGCTGACATGAATACACGTGTGTAAAGCGCGACCCCTGGGGCGTGCCTTACGCCACGTACGTGTATAGCGCGGGGCAGGGGTCGCGCCATACCTTTAACTGATATAATTATATAAGGCGCGGTATAGGTACCGCGCCTTGTAACTTTTCCCGACTATAAATACTCTTCTCCCCGATTAAGTTCCTCACATCTCTCATCTCAACTTATAAATTAATACAACAATTCTGTCAACGAGTCAATAATTCTGACAATTTTCTCATATTTTATTCAGAAGTTTGTTCGATTTTTCGTTATAAGGTAATTTTGTGATAATTTTTTTTATATTTATTGTTTATTATGATTATTTGAAAAAATATTATACTAATTGTTGTAAATTAATTTATGTGTTTGTAAAATTAGAAAGCGGGAATATACGTCGAAATAGTTTTGCGGTACAAGTAATAATATAAATTTATATTATTTAAATTATTTACGTTTATGTGTAAAAATGTTATTCTGTTATATTTTCGTTCATATATTATTTATTTAATTAGCATTGTTTCAGTTGTTTTTTTTTTGCAGATATAATATTGCCGCACTTTTAAACTCAAAGAATGACGCGACTTTCAGCTATTGTTTATTATGATGATGAGATTCGAGAAGATGAAACCGGCGTTGTGTTCGTATCAAATGAGCGTGTTAAAATATCATTGAAGATAAACATAAATCTTGAGGAGCTGATAACGAAGATTTCGAGGAAGATTCATGTTGGAAGTAGTAGAAGAATGTCGTCGTTGCAGTACAGATTTCCAACATCATTATTGTTATTAACTTATATAGCGTTCGAACTTTTAAACAATGATGATGGTTGAAATAGATATATTTATAGGAAAGTTTGAGGGTATTGAAGTCGGTGTAGTTGTGTAATTACACCTAAGGCGCGCCGCAAGGGGCGCGCCTTCCTGACACTTGTCAGATTCACAGGGAAGGCGCGGCCCCTGCCCCGCGCCTTAGGTGTAATTACACACTTACCCCGCGTTTTATTCATGTGTATCCATGTCAGCATAAAGCGCGTTTCAGGGTGCGACTTACCCCACGTGACGTCAAATCAACATATAATGCGGTACAGGTGGTGCGTTTTACTGTTAAGGATGTTATATCAAAAAATATAATATGACCGGTGTTAGATCAATAAATATATCGATCACCGATAATTTTTCGAAAAAAAACCCCCTATACGTGTCCCCCCAACCAAAAAAAATCAGGCTGGGTAGAGCTTTTTTAAATATGGATTGAATCAAGTGACATGTAGAGATATTATACTTGGATTGAGTTTTGGTGCGCCAAAAAATTGGCCTAATCCAATTAATGTTCATCACTAATCGAGTATCATGGAATAAAGTAAGTGGTGGATGATATGTTGTAAGCGTTTTTTTTAATCAATGATATTTAATCTATTGATCGATTAATCTAAATCGTATATTATAGTGATTCTTTATGGATAAACTTTCAAATATAATTTACTCTATTTATAACGACATGATTCAAACTTATAATCCTGTTTAGACGATCTATTATCTCATCTCCTCCTATCAACTTATTATTGATTAAAGGTTAATTTATTATTATATTTCTCTCGTAATAAAAAAATTGAATTAAGATTCAAGGTTTTTAAGCGTTAGTTTTTTTTAATTAATAATAATTAATCAATTAATCTAAATCAGATATTCCAACAATTTATTATAGGATAATCTTTTATATATAATTTACTTTATTAATAACATCAAGATTAAAACTTTTAATTTTACTTAAATAATTTAATATCCCATCCCATCCCATCATATCAATTTATTATTTGACTTCTCTTATGATGAAAAAAATAAATTAAGGTTGCATGTAAAGGTTGAAAATGCAAGTGATTTGGTGGTAGAAAAGCTCTTTAAAATGTAGGTATCAGAATTTGACTAGATTGCTTGAGAACTTGAAGCGGTGTCACTATCTCACCAACCCACCATGACATATCCATTTATTCAAATATTTTTCAAACGTATAAATTTCGAATTATTCAAATTATATTTTATAACTCAACTTAAATTTAATTTTTTAAATTGAATAAAGTTTATAAAATTATGAATCAAAATTAATTTGATTCAAATCAAGTAAAATAAAATCAATTTTTATAATCAAATTTAATTTTACTCATCCAGAATGCACCCAATATTAAAAAGGAAATATACCTCAAGGCAAAGGGACAGGCTGGGAATTGAAATTTACAACTATGATTGGACCGGGAATCCCATACTCCCAAGTTAAAAAACGCGTTGGTCACGTCAAACAATGTGCTTAATTATTCAATTAAAAATTACTTTAAATTTTTTTTATATATTAAAAGAAAGAAACCACTTTTTATTTTTTTAAATCACTTTGTTTTTGTTTTTATTTAATTATTATTTTAATTTGTAGTTTTTATTCATTTATTTCTCAAATATATTATAAATACTTATAATTTTGATTTTGATTCAAGTAAGTATCAAAAATTATTTTTTTAAAATAATAAAAGTTATAAATAAATATTTTGTTGTGTCCTGTCATATTTAATTTTATATTCTCTAATATACTATACCAACAATAAATTAATCGAATTAAACTTGATTGACCAGACAATCATATTAATTTATAAAGTAATATATATATATATATAAACACTAATTGAGGTCGTAAATGCTAGACATTGAAGTAGTAGGTTAAAGAAGTAATATGTGTAAAAATAAAAAATAAAAAATAGTCAGATATCCTATGTTTAAAACCTACACTTAAATAATATAATATTGAGTTTGTCTTAATAATTTTTTATTTTCTATCTATATAAAAATAATTTTCATCCATTATTAAGAAAATCATTCCCTATTGGTTATAGGAAAATAATAATTAAATACTTAATATTTTTTTTTTGCTTTTAAAATTAAATAATATTGAATCAACTTATAGCATATAATCTTAAATTTTAAACACCGTTTATCATTTTTTTTCATATTTAATTGATTGATAATGATATTAATCTCGTCAATGTTTTTTCTTTTCATTTATTTTTTATACGATATCTTTTGTTTTTTAGTAATTCAGATACATCTTCTATCTTTTAGCATGTTTTTAATGTTTGATTGTTATTTTTATGGTTGGATAAGATTATCAATCAATTAAATATTAAAAAAATGATAAACAATGTTTAAAATTTAAGATTATACGCTATAATTCGATTCAATATTATTTAATTTTAAAAGTAAAAAATATTAAATGATATTTATTTATTATCATATTAATTTTTTATGCTTTAAACATTAAATTAAACTTGAATACTTTATTTGTTGTTGAGAATAATTTTCTTACATCAATTTATTATAATTTATGATTTGTTAATAGTTTTTTAATAATTTAAACACCTTTTATAATCAAATTTGAAAAGATAAAAACCGACACATCTCATTATCATCACTAAGGTAAGATACGGATGAATTAATTTTGGGGGTATCATGACAACGATGAAGACATACATCTCTATTGGTAAGAGGTGAATATGTATGAAGTGATATTTCCCAGAAAGAAAATAATTATCTCACCCACCGCCACCGACTCACCACCTATCTTTCCCGCAGTCCAAACAGATCTCCACCACGTGCTTGATTTTCTTTTACGCGTTGACAGGCTCCATTACAGCCGTCAGATTGAAATCTCACCTAAACACACCTCAATGAAGTACCCTAAATTTCGTTTATGACCGCTGCCTGCTTCCTGGTACCTTGGTTTCTCTTACATTCTCCCCTTTATAAACTCTTTCTTCCCCACCGTTTCAACTTGCCTCAAACCCCATCTCCTCTCTTGAGCTCAATTTCAAGGTTTACATTCCACCACAGGTTTCATCAGAGGTACCCCACTATTCTCCTTCTCTGCTTCTGGTTTTGGTTGCATCTTTTAGTCTGCAGATCTTGTTGTCTTGAATTGCAGAATTTGGTTTAGTTTTCATGGTGATTTGGTTTTAATTGCAGAAATTGGTTTAGTTTTCACGGTGATTTGGTTTCAATTGCAGAATTTAAGGAATGGAGACCTTCCTATTTACATCGGAATCTGTCAACGAGGGACATCCTGACAAGCTCTGTGATCAGGTCTCCGATGCGGTGCTCGACGCCTGCTTGGCGCAGGATCCCGACAGCAAGGTCGCTTGCGAGACCTGCACCAAGACCAACATGGTGATGGTCTTCGGCGAGATCACTACTAAAGCCAACGTCGACTACGAGAAGATCGTGCGGGACACCTGCCGGAACATCGGTTTCACGTCCGCTGATGTCGGTCTCGATGCCGACAACTGCAAGGTGTTGGTTAACATCGAGCAACAGAGTCCCGATATCGCTCAGGGTGTTCATGGTCATCTCAGTAAGCGTCCCGAGGAGATAGGGGCCGGTGACCAGGGCCATATGTTTGGCTACGCCACTGACGAGACACCTGAACTGATGCCCTTGAGCCACGTTTTGGCTACCAAGCTCGGTGCTCGTCTCACCGAAGTCCGGAAAAACGGAACTTGTCCTTGGCTCAGGCCCGACGGCAAGACTCAAGTCACCGTCGAGTATTACAACGATAAAGGCGCCATGGTTCCTGTTCGTGTCCACACCGTGCTCATCTCCACCCAGCACGATGAGACCGTGACCAACGATGAGATCGCCGCCGATTTGAAGGAGCATGTAATCAAGCCCGTTATCCCCGAGAAGTACCTCGATGAGAAAACCATTTTCCACCTCAACCCTTCGGGTCGTTTCGTCATAGGAGGTCCACACGGTGATGCAGGTCTCACAGGCCGGAAGATCATCATCGATACATATGGCGGATGGGGAGCTCACGGTGGCGGTGCGTTCTCCGGTAAGGACCCAACCAAAGTGGATAGAAGCGGCGCTTACATCGTGAGACAGGCTGCAAAGAGCATCGTTGCTAATGGACTCGCTAGGCGGTGCATTGTTCAGGTTGTTAGATTAAAATTTAAAATCCGTAATTGTGAATACATAGCAATTTATCATAAAAATATGACATAAAATTAAATAATTAATTATATATTATGTGTTGTAGGTTTCATATGCCATCGGTGTACCAGAGCCATTATCCGTATTCGTGGACACTTACGGCACAGGAAAGATCCCAGACAAGGAAATTCTGGAGATCGTGAAGGAGAACTTCGATTTCAGGCCCGGAATGATTGCAATCAACCTTGATCTTAAGAGAGGAGGCAATGGGAGGTTCTTGAAGACGGCTGCCTATGGACATTTTGGACGGGATGATGCGGATTTCACTTGGGAGGTGGTCAAGCCACTCAAGTGGGACAAGGTCCAGGCATAAGTGGGCTTCTTCAGCTGTTCTGTCTACTTACCATATTATGAGTCTTGCTGGTCGGCTTTTCTTACTATTTGCTTCATTTGTATTTTTGGGTTTGGGATTTGATTAAATTTATAATTTACTAATATGTGATGATGAGAGAAATAGCAGTGGAAAAAGATGTACTGTCATTTAAAGATAATAATAATAAGATTTTTATACATATTCAACTTTTATTAAATATAAATAAAAAAATAATTCTATTTATTTACCGTATTAAAGGGCATGACAGCATGGTGTGAATTTGAGAAGCAGGGCACTGCTGTACCTACCAGTATTTCATGTGAATTGTGTAGGTGGTAAATGAAATTTGTTAATCGAATTAGTTGAGTTATAGAAATGAAATTTGTTAATCGAAATAGTTGAGTTATCGAAATGAAATTTATTTATTAAATTGAGTAGTTAAATATTAAATCGGTTAATAATTAAATTTTAAGAAAAAAGTTTAATTAATTAATTAAATTAAATTGATGTAAAAAATATATTAACTATTTAATATACATTTAATTAAAATCCATTGGAAACTAGAAGATACGTATTTAATTCAAACCCATTGGAAACTAAAAAATTTATATTTAATTCAAATCCGTTTGAAAATGATATTAAGCTTTCTAAGATCCATTAAACTTTAAAACAAATAAAATATACTTAAAATAAATTTAAACTATTCTAATTAAAAAACCAATAATAAATTAATTGAATTTTGTTGAGTTTAATTGATAGTTTTTAAATAATTTTAATTCAATTAATTTAATGTTTTAATGTGCGAGGAAAGGAATCATACAAGATGTGTAAACTCGAGGCCTGCAAAAGATGAGTCTCGAGAGAGAAATAATGCTGGACTATTTTTAATTTTTAATAATAATATGAAGTAATTATAAGATAATATATTTATAATTAATATTAATATTATTTTAATGTATTTGACCGATCCAACTAAAATATTCCACCAAATAAACCTCCATGACTGAATACTATATATATCTTCAGTTGAATTATCACAAGTACAATATATGGTGTTTTTTCCGCCTATGCTTCTATAATAACTACCTCAGAATCAGATAGACCCGTACTTCAACTGTTCCCACCGGAATGGTCGGAATACGAAAAGAACTTCGGGGGAGCTTTTGAAGAGCAGAGCCACACATACGCACACAGCAGCGATAGCCACCATGGAGAGCATCGTCGGCCTATACACCAGCGATGTTCTGCTGTTTCCGTAGGCCAGCTTCCTTTTACATGTCTTGCAACCCTCCTGCCTTGCTTTCGTCTTAATCTTTTCAGTCTCCAGACTGACTGCCTTCGCCGATCTCGTTCCATCTGATGGTTTCGGCTTGGAGTTGCAGTCTAATACGGTTCCCGGGATATCCAGCGTGATGTATCCTGATCTTTTGTTGATTTTTCTCTGAACCAGGTGGATGTAGGAGCAGTGACCTTGAAGGCACGCATAGTCGTTAGGTGTTCGACCCGTGCTGTCGTGGGCAGTTTTCCATGCTTCAATTGCAAGCTGGACAGGGCACAGAGTTAGATCGGTACAGAAGAGGAAAACGGAACGAGTTAAGACGATTTTATACCAGAATGCATGCTTTCTGATGTAAAAAATAAATGCATTATGCAGAAAATAGGAGAGATATGAGATACCGATCCCGGATCGTCGGTTAATGCATCTAAAACATTCTCACAGCCTTCCTGACTAGCTGCCAAGTGAAGAGGAGTCAACCCGGCAGGCCCGGCAACATCTGGTTTAAAAATGAATCCATATTCATTTCCATCCACCCGAGGCTTCTGCTTGGATCCTGGTTTATCCAATGGTTTATTAGGAACATATCTTAATAGTAATTCTACCATGGGTCTGCAGTTTCTTCGGACGGCTCTGTGGAGCAGGCACATATCCAACAAAGCAAACTCTGTAGAACTATGGTCGTCTAAATCGACAGTTCCGTCAAAGAGAATTCCCAGAAGTTTCTTGACTACGGCACACCAGTCATGGTCCATGGAGAATTCCATAAGCCACTTGAACCGCCTGAGAGGAAAGAGATCTCGATTGGGGTTCGTGTGGCCCAGCTTCCACTCCAAGTGATTTCTGTGAAGAAGCCATCCCAGTTCATGTATAAAGTCCAGTGCTTTATTCTTGGTTTCCATTTTCTCGTTTTTGTTAATGTCAACGGCAGGTACAGCTGTTTCTATCACACCCTCGAGAGTACAAATCTCGGAACACACATCTTGCTCTGCAACTATGAATGGAAAAAAGGTGCTGCTGAGTCCAAAGTCTTCAACCTGATAGAATCAGATGACCAAAATCCATGCTTCATCATATATGCGTCAGTAATTTACTACATCCAACCAATTTTCTCTGTGAAAAAGATGAAATATAATCGGAAAACACCAAACAATGAACACACCTCGATAAATCCTCTTCCGGAAACATTCGGTATAGAGCAAGGGAAACAAAGGTGCTGGAGTTTATCTTGTTCATCGATGGGATCAACAACCTCCATCAAGTCATAACAATTTTCCTGCACCAGATATTTTCCTTCGAAGGCACAGAGTAACCTGAACTAGAGGTCGGATTTAGTACTTGTTCAGGCAAACTAAAATCCTATTGTAAAAGGATGAAAAGAAAGCATAGCAGGATTCAAGGGGACTGAAGATATACCTCGCGCTGGAGCGATTAAGGTTAAAACCTTTAACAACAAATCGAGCTCTCTCTGTTATTGATACAGCAATAGGTCTAATGCTCGAGATCCTACAAGTTGTGTGGCTTTTCGGAGGTAAAAGGGCATCCAATACAACTCTACCTGCAGCATTGGTAGAGAGAACATGGGCTTTTCTCTTGACAACGTCTACACTAAGTACTATATTTGTTGGTAATTAAACAAAAAGGATAAACCGCGACCAAGAAACTGTATATGTGTGTGTGTGTATAGAGAGAGCGAGAGAACCATTAAATATAAATGCTAGAGAGTACTGAACCCTAGCATACACCCATCCTGTTTTCCAGAAAGAGTCATCGGACACATCAACTAGCCGTCTCAAGCTGGAACCGAGATCACGACATAGCTGAACATACAACAGTTAGAAAGAAGACCGGTGAGGCTTTTCATTAATAAAAGATACAACTCTGGTTTTACCATCTCTGACAAAGCATACCTCTTCCCAAGCAGATTCTCCTAAACGAAGATATATTGTTAATATTATACAGCCGGGTCTTATGTAGCTTTCAATGTCGGTAGGACTATGAGATAGCCACTCGAGGATCTGAAAGATCAATTATCTCCACAGAATGAATGCAAGTCCATGAAGAATAATTGAAAAGACTTTTGAGCCTAAATAATTTATTCAAATTACCTGTCTACGTAGAGCAATAGGAAAATCATTTGGGTTCTTTCCAAAGAGCTTAAAAACGATCCGACCGGTGCGACTCTGAAGATAGGTAACACCATTTAACATTTATAAGAGAACTTCACATAATTCTGCTTTGACTTAAAAGCCTTTTGTTAATGGTAAGTAGTCATATGATCCAACAATATTCAATTGAACCATAATGATAACAAATCATTCTAGATGGTAATCAGTCAGCAAGCAATTTGTTGTCTATCCTAAGATATAGTAGGACGGAGACAAAGCAATTTAAAGCTAAGGAAAAATCAAGCTCTCGAAAAAGAAAGAGACAGGAAAGCACCTGAGCCTCCCCACTGGAAGTAGATGGTGACTGACTAGGGGATGAATCCAAGTTCTTACTCGGTTGAGGGGGTTTTGACCCGTGTGATTCCGACATGACAATACAGCTACGCAAAGAACCATTTGCATCTTTTTTAAGTCCCGGAGATCTTTCTAAGTTCTCTATGTAGTATTGTGAATCATCGTAAACATTATTCAAGTCTAAATTATTAATTCTAATCCCTTCAACTGTAGCATCTGCATCATTTGCTCTGGATTGAAAGCCGGCTCCCGATGGAATCAGTGTTCTGGATGGTTGACCGGACAAAATTCCATCTTGAGCAACAGTTTTAGCTCTTCTATTTTCCAAATGAGAAGCAGGTACTGTCCCACAATAACCCATAGCCTCCTGCCTCTCCGGGAGATTAGCACAGTCGTCTATTTTAGAGGCAGAACCAGAAGGCCTAGCAAGTTCCGTACCACCGGAAACCACATCATTCACCTTTTCAAGATTCCCGAGAGATCTCCCGGCATTCTCTACACCTTGAGAACCTTGAAGTAATCCTGATAAGTTTCTTCCGTTAGTCGAACAAGCTGCATTGGCCAGGCACCTCAACAGATGAGAAAGCAGATCTTGATCCTTAGCTTGGTCGGAGTTGTTAGCTACAAGTTACAAAAGCCAAAAGATCTACAAGTTACGGAGAATGGAGGAGGAAACCGGAGATGAAGCGGGGAAAAACGTATCATTACTAAACTAAAAACGTATCAAAATGAATTGAGAAATATGAACCAAATCAGACATTTATTCACAAACGAAAGACGGTACAATTTGCACGGTCTTATTGACAAGTAAAAGGCAATGTGCATAAAGCAGAACATCCAGGAGTGTTGATCTAATCCCTAGCTTTTAGTAGGCCATCTAACAAATCAACCGATGCAACTATCCTCGTTAAGCAGCAAAATAATTAATTTTGGTTTGGAGCAGATACTTACTATGCATATTTGAGAGAACCCTCAGAAGACTCATCAACAAAAAGCTACTATTCCTTTCATCATTCAGTAAACCGGCAGTAGGTAAATTATCAGGATGTGTCTTCCTCCTGCGTCGGTTATGACCGGCCAAACGTCTACGACAGCTCCTCTTTCCTTCATCGAATTCTTGAAGAATATGGAACCTGCCCCAGAAGTTTAAGCAAGTTGCATCTAAATGATAATATGCGAAACTAAACCGTAAGTAAACAAGAAATCAAAAATGATAATATGTGAATTGCACTACGCAATCGTATATTGGCCAAGATCAGGATCATCATCTATGCTCTAAGATGCAGATATTTAATAGTATATATTCTACACATACACACACCAAAGTTAACCCACCTGCTACATTGTTGACAGAACCGCTGCATAACATTTCCGACCAGTGCTTTACTGGCTTTAGAATGCACTTCGCAAACTTTAT